GTATAGCAAGAGTCTGCCTCAAAAACAAACAAAAAAAAAAGGATAAACTCAATCTAAATTTAATAAGGAAAGGCAAAAGACCCAAAATAGTCAATGTGATCCTAAAGCAGAACAAAGCTGATGGATATAAATTATTTAATTTCACACTTTCTATAAAGCTACCTTAATCCAGACAGCATGGACCTTACAATAAAACTACCTTAATTCAGACAACATGAAAATAACAGTAAAATTATCTTAATCCGGAGAACCTGGAATTAGCAAAAGAATGACACACATAATAATGGAACACAGAAAAATCAAGGAAGAGACCCAATACATCAACAGAGGAATAAAAGCAATTTCATGGAGAAAGAAAAATTTTCAACGAATAGCAACACAACAATTGAATATGTATATGAAAATAAGCCCTCAAGAATCAAAAAAATAGGGCCAGGCATTTAGCTCAGTGGTACCACCACCTGCCTCGCAAGCTTAAGGTCCTGAGTTCTAGCCCCATACTGGGGGGAAAAAAAAGAACAAACAAAAACAACAACAAAAAATAATAAACCTAGATAAAGACCTAAACTTTTTTTTTTAAATTACCTCAAAACGAATCATGGGAGTGGGGCGTGGTAGCACACACCTGTAATTCCAGCACTCAGGCGACTGAAGCAGCGCATCACTGTGAGTTCAAGGTCAGCCTGGGCTACACAGTGAAACCATGTCTCAAAGGAAGAGCAGGAGGTCAGGGAGGGGAGGGAGGGAGGGGGAGGAAGAAAGAAGGGAGGAAGGGGGGAGAGAGGGAGGGGACAGAGAGATCTAAACACAAAACTCAAGATTGTAGAATTGACACAAAGAAAACTCCGGGTGACCTCAAGTTTTGGCAATGTGTTGTTGTTGTTGTTGTTGTTTTTCTTTTTTTGGTACTGGGGATCGAACTCAGGTCCTTGTGCTTACGAGGCAGGCGACAGAATCTCTGAGCTAAATCCCCAGCCCTTGGCAATGAGTTAATAAAAACATGATCCATGATAGAAATAACTGTTTAAGTTTCAGATTTCTATTAGAAAAGTAGAAACTTCTCTACAAAAGAAAGTTAAGGAAAAGACAAGACACAGACCGAGAGAAAATATAAAACACATACTTGATAAAAGATCTGTTTCCAAAATATGCAGGGAACTCAAAACTCAACAATAGGAAAACCCAATTAAAAATTAAGCAAAAGATCTGAAAGAAACTTAAGAAAAAAAAAGACAGCAAATAAGTACCTGAAAAGATACTTATCATTTGTCACTAGGGACTACAATTAAAAACAAGGAGAAAGGCTGGGATTTAGCTCAGCAGATCTGCTGCCTGCCTCACAGGCACAAGGACCCAAGTTCGATTCCTGGTTACAAAAAACAAGGAAATACTACGTACCTATTTGAATGACCAAAATACCAAAAAAAAAAAAAAAAAAAAATTGGCATATCAGATACTAGTAAAGATTCACACAACAGATACTACCATCCATTGCTAATAGGATGGATACACAACAGTAGAGTCACCTTGAGAGGCAGTGTGGCAGTTCTCTGAACGCTAAGGCTTCTTCTCATGGTGTGCAGCCTTGTGCCCTCAGGTGTTTACCAACTGATTTTAAATTACACACACACAAAAGCCTACACATGTACATTCATAGCACTAATAACTGACACAATCAGTATAACCCCGAAAATGAAAACAGAATTGCATGTTAAGTATGGTAACTCCTGGAAGAAGTCATACCCTGCGGTGGCACAATTCTGACAGTCTATTTGTGTACAACAGAGGCCTGAGGGGAGTATTCTCTCCTTCCAGGAGAAGCCTCTTCCAGCTTCTTAGAACTGATGGCGTTCCTTTGCTTGTCATCACTCTTAGGCGAGGTCAGCATCTTCAAATATCTCTCTGGCTCATCTTCATGTCATCCTCTCTCTGAGTGGTGCTTCCGCCTCTCTTATGCAACACATGTGACTGTTAACCAAACCTGCGAAGACCTCTTTTCCAAGTGCAGTAACATGTAAAAGTTCCATGGATTAGGATCTGACCTCCCTGGTGGATGTTATGGCTGTGTCTTGATGTACCCCCAAAGCTGCATGCAGTCAGTCATGGGAGGAGCTTTTCAGAGGGGACTGGATCTGGAGTGTGTGGTGCTGGGATCAAGGCTGTGTGATCACTACATCAGCCCACTGATTGCTTTGGCACCGTTCTGGCTAGGATTAAAGGTGTGAGGGCTGTACCTGCTCTAGGCTGAGTAGCCTGCATAAAATATAAGGACAGGAAGAGGGCTAATCGCTCTCACCTGCCTGATTGCCATGGACTGTTTCTCCTCCGTGATGCCCCCTGCTTTGCCACCCTGCTGTGGAGCCAGCCAACTATGGACTGAAATCTCTACAAATGTGAGCCAAGTCAATCTTTCTTCCTTTACCTTTGAGTGTCAGGTATTTCGTCTCAGCAACAAGAAACTAAAGGGGATATAATTCAGCCCGCAAGTGCTAAACACAGATTACCTGTTTCAAGATTCATTATATAGCTATTAGTCATTAAGGGTTCATGATCCTAGAGAAGGGATGCATATGAATCAAACAGAATAAATGACCCAGAAATAGACCCACACAAATATGCCCACTTGATTTTTAACAGAAATATAAAAACAATTTATTGAATGAAAGACAGCCTTTTCAACAAATGGTACTGTTACAACTAAATATCCAGACCAAAAAGCAAACAAAAAAGAATATGAGCTAAGTATCAAGTCTTAGCCAAAAATAGGCCACAAATTCAAATGTGAGATATAAACCCATACACCACTTCTAAAGAGGAAAAAAAATAGAAACATTCAAAATCTAGAGCCAATTTGAAGAGTGTCAGGGTATTTGGTCATTGTTAGAAGCAACTCCTCCGTCCAGCCAAGCCTGCATCAGAGCACAACCTTGAGAGACCCCTGAGCCTTCAGAACAACCAGCTAAGGTGCTGATTTACTGACCCACAGAGACCAAGAGATAAGAGATGTTTACTATTTCAAGCCACTAAATTTGGGGTAGCGCTGGGCATGCTGGCACACATCTGTAATTCCAGCACTCTGTGAGGCTGAGGCAGGACGACTGCAAGTTTGAAACCCAGCCTGGGCAATTTAGCAAGACCCTGTGTCAAAATAAAAAAGCACATTCATAGCTCAGTGTGAAGAAGGCCCTGGGTTCAATCTCCAGTAATGCAGGAAAAAATACCACTAGATGCCTGATGCACTTAACTGTTTACCTCAATGTCCCTGTGATCTCTCTTCAGCGTGAACTTAACTGTAACACACAGAGGTTAAATAATTTTTCCTAGGCTGAGACACAGGTCAGTAGTACAGCACTTTCCTAGTTAACTGTGAGGCAATGGGTTCAATTTCTAGCACAGCAGAGAAAAACAAAGTAATTTTTCCCAATTATCGCAGAGCTGATAAGTGATAAGGAACAAGGTTCAAACCTAAAGCCAGGAATACTAACTATTATACAAAACATTCTCCCCAAAGCTGAAGTGGTTTCTGTACCATGTCTTTTATTTGTTGCTATAAAGTAGAAGGCAAGGTTATCTGTTAATGGCAGGGGAAGGCAAGTGATTCAGAAAAAATGAAGAAAATGGCAAAGGTTTAAAACAGTGGCCACAGAATTAGTAAGAGGGCTCACCAAGAAATCTAACTGGGTTTCCAAATAGTGCTAAGGCCCAGGTAGGTTAGGAGCCACGAACGTCTAGAGCAGGGAACTTAAGATAGCCATAATGAAGAGAACTTTGTTTATGTACATAAATATAAGTCAAACTGTGAAATAGTGGTTACAACTGGACAGAATAAAAAAACGCATGTTTTGAGAGCCTATTAAGTTCTATAAGAAGCTATGTGCAAAAAAACTGCATGAAACACTGTATATTCTATGTCAGATTATCAAACAAAGACTGAAGGAAAGCCTATGAGATTCAGCCTGAGATAAGCTGACAGTGCAACTTCATGCCTTGGTCTCAAACACTAGAATTTTTTCTAGAGAATCTTCCCTTTTCTATTCAAAAATGTTATAAGAGTCAGGCATGGTGGCACATGCCTATAATCTCAGCACTCTGGGAGGTTGAGGCAGAAGAGGACTCCTGTAAATTTGAAGCCAAGAGTCTGGGCTACACAGTGAAAGAGACCTGATCTCACAAAGGTGAGGGAGAGGGGTAGGAGAAATGGGGGAGAGGTAGGAAGAGAGAGAGACCCACCCCTGCCAGCCCACACACGTGCTTTTAAGATTTTACTGCACATGAGAAATACAATGGCATTGACTTAATCGCAAAAGAAAGTAAAGTGGGGGGAAACAAACCACAAGCAAAATTTATTCTATGGTAAAAGTCAGTGCAATCATTGAGGAACAGATACTAACATACTTATGACACAAAAGCCATTAATAATGGAAGCAGAGATTTATTAAGCGCTCTCTTGGTATTCAAAGTTTAAAAAAAGGTACAATAAGCAAAAGTCAATATTCTAGTGACATCTTTCCTCAGATATCCATTATTTGTTTTTAGTTTGTTTTTTTTTTTTTTGGTATCAGGGACTGAACTCAGGACCTTACACTTGCTAAGTAGGCAGCAGAACCACTGAGCTAAATCCCCAGTTGGATATCCATCATTAAGTGAAGTACTAAAGTCAAACTGAGTACTGCTAGTACAGTAAAATTGTTTCTATTAATAGAAATATCACTGGATAAATTGTTTTATGCATAATCAATAGATAAAAATTAACTTCCATATTTAAAGTAGTTCTATTCCCTATAAAAGCACAAGGGTTACAAAAACCAGTGACCCTTTATGAATTTCCCAAGTTATTTCACACATCTTCTAGCTCTTTAAAGCATGACACAATCCATGTACTCTGAAAATATAAAGCAAAACGGACTTTATCATTCACAAGGATTTTAATTAAAAGAAAACATGTAATCAATTGTTATTAAGGCAATAGAAGAGTTTCATCACTCTGCTTTCAATCTTACCCTGATCTGTTCGGTGGAGCTGCTGCTAAGTTCATCTCCAGATTCAGAATCCTGATGTATTCTCTCTGAGCTTTCTCCTGCTGAATCACAAGACTGCTCCAGAGAGAAGCCAGTTTTCTCTACGTCCAAGAACTCCTGACCCGGAAAGTGACCAAATAAGCGCGTCCTGTTCTGGCTGGAAACTTTGGGAGAATGGGAGTCATTGTTAAACTTTCCGTTGTTATGGGTCACGTCCAGGCTTAGGGTGAGAATTTGACCTGGATTACAGCTGGGTCCAAAATTCTGATTGGCATCACGGATAAGACCTGTTCCCTGAACAGACAGTGAGGGCTTTCCAAAACTCGAAAGCTCAGGCAATTTGTTCACATTTTCTGTGGATCTCTGAAGATGCAGGCTCTGGATTGTTTTCATAGAACTGTTTGGCAGTCCGGCTGCCTGCTTCACAGGTGGCATCAGGGCTCTGCGGGTGACCTCCTTCACGTACTGGGCCGGCACATAGAATGCTTTGGAGTTCTCATCCGGTTTGACTTGCCACCAGTCGTCATTGGTCTTCTTCACCAAGATGTAACGCTCCCCTTGTCTTATCACCACCTTCCTGTCCTTTGCTTCGTACTCATAATCATACTCCACTTCGATGTACACTTGTCCTGGAATGGTCTTCCCACTTCTATCCGCCATCTTCATGCAATAATGTTCACCTCTCAAAAAGGATGGCACGCCACATTATAGCTTTGTGGCTTGCTGATTCATGGAGCTATTTTATTTGTGTGGAGAAAAGGAATAAAGAAAAAACAGATGTAATCTGGATTTGGTATTTACTCACAAACACCACATAATACAGCTCATTTAGAGAACAATGCCTCCAAATCTCAAGCCTAGAAAGTAAGATTGTTCCTAATGTCACGTGTATTACCCTACATTAAAAACACTTCCATTTAACCTGTATTTTTCAGTTAATTATGACCCAAACCAAAACTAATGAATGGAGTAGTAAATTCACTAGCCAATATTCTATAAAAAACTAAAAGGGGAAGAGATAGCAGGAAGGGGAAGTAAAAAGGATCAAGATGCCAGACGTGTGTGTACCAATTCACCAAGCCAAATGCACTATGCATCGCAAACATAGTAAGAATAAGAATTCAGACAAACCAATTCTCACAACCGCCTTTAATTTCTCAGAAAGGCTCAGTAATAATCAATAATACATACCAGCCCCTGACTGAAAGCCAGGCACTGGGCTAGTCTCACCACCTAAGACACCTTCTCAAATTGGAGCAACCACTGACCTTGCATTAATGTTTTATTCTATTTTCCAAAAGAGTAAAAATATCAGTGAGCTTAAAAAATTTAAATTACCCAAAACTAGTTAACTAATTTAAATTTAAAAATAAATTTCTAAAAGAACAGCATTGTTATTACAGGGCAAAACTTTTACAAAACACTAAAAGAAAAAAAGAGTTTACCGAGTTTCCCTATTACCTCTACTCCTTTTAGACCAAATCTCACAAATGACAAGTCTTTTACATTACAAACATTTTTTTAAAAAAATCACTGGGCCAGGAATGGTGATGCCCACCTATGATCCCAGTACTCAGAAGGCTGAGGCAGGAGGACAGCTGTGAGTTCAAGACCAGCCTGAACTACATACCAAGAACCTGTTTCCAAAAACAAAAACAAAAACAAAAACAAACAAACTCCCTCTACCTCCCCCTCTCACTGGATGCAGTAGCACACATCTGTAATTACAGCATTCTAGCAGGCTGAAGCATAGATCTCAAGTTTGAGCCCAGCCTGGGCAACTTAGTGACTCAGCAAGACTTTCAGAACAAAAAGGTAAAAAGGGCTGGAGATGTAGTTCAGTATGAAAGCCCTAGGTTCAATCCCCAATACCACCAAAAAAAGAAAAGAAAAAAGTAAGAAACTCTACTTCATTCTCCATTTCAAAGACTATTAGGAATAGCCCTAAATTGGCTTGAGAAATTCAGAATAAACTTTTATTTCTACATCCATGTCAAAACATTTTATTGCCATATAACATTACACACGAGGTTCAAAATGATCACAGAATCTCAATATTGCTAGAGTGTGAGTAAACCAATTCCCAACTGCTGTGGGATGAAGTTCCTCCCAAGATATGCTCAAGTATCAACCCCAGGACCTGTGACTGGAAATAGCGGCTTTGAGATCATACCTGATTAGGCCCCCAAACCCAGTGACTGGTGTGTCACAGGAGAAAGAAGTTCGGAGACAAGGAACACGGGGAGAAAGGCCATGTGAAGACAGAAGCCGGAACAGGGAGTGAACACCAACAACTGTCAACAAAACCCAGAAGCTAGGAAGATGCAAGCAAGGGGTGTCCCCTATTCCAGCAGGTGCACCCTGCAGATACTTTGATTTTGGACTGCCAGTCTACGGCACTGTGGTAGAAGAAACTTCTGTCTCAAGCCACTGTGTTAGCAATACAGGGTTAGGATCCCTAATTCAAAATCCCAAATGCTCCAAAATCTGAAACTTTCTGAGCACCAACTTGACGCTGGAGGCAGAAAATTCCACATGTGATCTTATGTGATGGGTCAGCCAAAATGCAGGCACATTGATGCTTGTAAAAGTACCTTCAGATTATGGGTACAAGAAGTATAAATGAATTTCACATTCATACTTGGGTTTTTTTTCCCCAAGATATCTCACATAGCCAGGCGTGGTGGTGCATACCTGTAATCCCAGCACTCAGGAGGCTGAGGCAGGAGGATCACTGTGAGTTTTAGACCAGCCTGGACTACATAGTGAGTTCCAGGACAGTCTCAACTACATACTGAGACCCTGTCTCAAAAAAAAAAAAAAAAAAAAAAAAAAAAAAAAAATTACAAAA